TTATACTTAAAAGCAAGCCAGAATCAGATCTAAATCACCAAGCCTACAACAATGAAGCCTGCCATTCCGACTCACTTTTTTTCCAAGGACATTCACTCTGCTAAATATTAAATCAGTGGAATTGTAGGGTAAAGCCAGTTCACGACAAATAAGTGCTAAAGGCAGCGAGTTGAAAGCCTTTGCTCTGCTCCTGAAGCATTAGAAAAGTTGCTGCATGCCATTTCAAGTCTGTTCCCAGAGTCATGTTGTGATGTTGCCCACCACATCCTTTCAAACAACTGCTAAGCTTCCTAGTGTGCTTTCTGGCAGTATTCTTACTCAAACCTGCATTTCCTTCATTTTCTCAGCACTACGCTGTGCCTAGGTGGGAAGTCTTGTAAAACTTGCACAGGCACAAACACGTGGCTTTAGCACCTGAGGAACCTGCCTAGATTGAATTAAGCCTCAGGGACTTTCAGGAAAAACTCAGACTATTTGGTAATCAAATTCCCAAAGGTATTTTTAGAATTTTTAAGAACAGATTCATTCCTAGCTAAGGCTCAGCGGCTGCCTGGACACTGGCTGTTCATCTTAGCGTACCTCCAAGAGGCAGCTCTGCAAGCAGCAGCAAGCACCCTGGTGCCACATGCGACTAAGCTGGGGTGAGGTCCAGTGATTAGAAAAAACGCTCTTACTCCTCTCGAGGAGCAACTGCTCCCGGATCCGGTCCCTACGCACACGAGGAAGGGGCTCAGCGGTGCGAAGTGCGCTGCCCGGCACTGCCTGTAGGGCATGAGAGCACATCAGCGAGGACAGCCCGGCTCAGCCTTCGGAGAGAGAGCAGCCTGTTAATGCGTGCTGAAGGCTGCTAAGGGCCACCGACACCAGCCTTCTGCTTCAGACCTCTCGCCGAGCAGGGAGGGTCGTGCTCCCTCGCTCAGCACCCACAAGGCCTGGGATCACAGCGAGCGGAGCCGACACACAAACGAGCAGGCGATGAGTTTCACCACTGCTCTCACTGCAGGGGCCATCACTAGAGATTAAACGGCAAAGCTTCATTCCTAAAGGCTTGACAACAAAGTTTGAGTAAGAAAATACTGGGCAGTACTAAAGGAGCCTGGAAAAGAAGCATTTGACATCACAAAATGAGACAAAGGCACAGCCTCAACCTGAAAAGGCAGAGAATTTAGCAATCTGACAGAAAACTACAGACATTGCTTCCTCCTCTCGGTAGGAAAGGAGTATTCTTTTCAAATATGCCCTGGTTTTGCTGTTTAAGCCCTCAGATAACCATGTTCCTCTCCAAAGATGTGATGGTGGGTTTTCAAGATAGTTCTTGCTCAGACTAAGGCCAAGATGGGGGGGGAAAAAAAAAAAAAGAGAGAGAGAGAAATGATCAAAACAGGAGATAAACTCTTCAGATTAGATACAGATCAATCAAAAAAAGCATTTATACCAGAAAGCAGACATGCCAGTGGGAAAAGCAAACATGCAGCAGTCCCACAGGAAAACCCTCACACTGTTTCTGTTTGAAAGCACTGTGAGCCTGACTACTAAACGGTGTAGGTGAGAGCAAGGAATGAGCAGCCCATCACATCCTGTGGCTCTGGCCAGGCTGCACCTCCCTGCTGTGCATCTCCCCTGCCTGCATGGCAGCAGCAGAGAGCATCCCAGCAGCACAGACACAGACACCTCCTCAGTCTCATGCCCTACCACAGGCCACCTAATTATACCAGCATTATCATGAACTGGTTAGATTCCAAATGACTTTTCTTGAAAGCATCCCCTTTGACTCACTGTCTCCCTGTCATGATACCATATTGCCCTTCAGCTCCTATGAAAAGGCAGATAAAGTCATGCCATGTAACAAAAATGGCCTTACCATTTACAGCACACTCCTGTGTTAACAGCTTCTTACAGGTCTCATTCATTAAAATAAATTAGCATATAGAGTCCTTATTATGAGGCTCTTACGTCAGAACAAACAAAGAGAACTTTAGACAACATGAGTGGAGCTTCAGAGAATAAGCAACTCCACAGGGAAATCACACCTGAAGTCCAACAAGAGACCTACTGATTTTCTCAGTGCTCTCAGGCAGCAGCCACAGACAGCAATGGGCACAGACTGCATCGCTCACCATTCCAGCCTTCACGTCAGGTCACCCTGCAAAGCCTGCACGAAGCTGTTTATTGCTATGAAACCACTGGGACTCTTGTCAATTTGCAGGCAAGCTTCTGGCAAATCAAGTGCAGAAACAAGATAGGGACAAGAACAGAATCAGGAGAAGATTGGGGATGTGTAATGTCCTTCCACTCCGCTGCCAGGTAATAGACCTATTTGGGATTTATTAGCGGGACTATTACAGGACTGAGATGACTCGTTAACCAAAGATGCACAGGTCTGAGCCTCCTGTCTCTCCAAAATTCCTTTCCAAGACGTTCTATTTGCCCACTTGTTGAAAAGCAACACATTTCTCACTTTATTCCCTGCTAATGTTGGTATCCATGTTCCCTTTAAAGACTACAATCGGAAAGAAAGAAAAAGAATTGGAAAAACCTTCTGCTTGTATTCCAGCATTGGTCTTTCTGATTAAAAATGAAGGGCTCCTCCCCCACACCGATCCCAAGGAGCATTTTAACAGCAGTCTGACAAAGGCAGATAAATAATATGGAAGTATATTCTCCCTTCTGGGCTGGCTAGAGCATCGCGTTTTATCAAAGAGGTGATTAAGGGCATTTTGAAGGACTGCAAAAAATTATGTTGCTAGATTTTTACCCTTGCCTTTCAGATGGCTTTGTAGGAGTAGGCAACTACTCCTGTACTGCTGCCACTACATTTCTTCAGATACAAAAGCTGTTTGAAGGCAGCTTAGACAACACCTACACTATTTTAGCAGTATAACCTAAGACACGGAAGACATTTTGAAATGATCTCCGGCCTTTCTCATACCAGGGCAGCTATTTATGAAGAGACCCTGCAATTAAATCAGCCCAAGGAACTCCTCACTCTAAAGGCTTCAGAAAAGGAAGTAGCAATAAATAATACATTTTCTCCTTCCATGGTGCTGTTACAGATAAAGCATATTCTTCCAATGTGAAGGAACAGATGTTCCTAGAAGCATGTGATTCTCATGCAGATGATAAACCTCAAAAGGCAAAGAAATCTTCTGAAAAACATACCCAAAATAAAACCTGAAAGGAATCTGTATTACCTTGCAGAAACATTTGCTTTTAGGTACACAAAGCTTACAGGCTGCTTAGAAGAGATCCACACTTCGAGTGGTCTGTCAGTCAGCTTCTTACACACAAGAACATGACTTCATATCTGGGAGCAAACCATTTCCATTCGTGTTTTGACAAACTCTTCATGCCTTTAACCACAATAAAAAATAAGCATGGAAGTAACTGTAGCCATTTTTACTCTTTTAATTACTAATCTGTAGACAGAGGAACCAACTCACAGTTTACCAAAATAAAATTTAAAAAAAAAATCAATGTTTATTTCAATGGAGTCAGACCTAGACCTAGCTTAGACATTATACCTGGACAGCCGATCCCAAAATGAAGAGACAGAAAGATTGATACTTATCTTCAATTAGTTCCCCAAATGTCTCAAACAGTCTGTGGACAGAACGTTCTAACATACTATGCAAAGTTCCTACTTTAAGCCCTTTCTGCAGAAGAGACTGCAATCTTCACTGATACATCCATCACAGAGAGCCACTGGTGCTCAGGGCACACAGACGCGCCGTTAGCTGCTCTGGGACCCAGACAGACTTAGCTCAAGAACCTGAAAAATCCTAGGGAGAGTTTTCCTGTTTACAACCAGTTTGTCCAACTCCCTGTTATGTAGCAAGAATGGAAGGAACAAAACACGAATAGAAACATTGTCACTGGGGATTCCAAACACATCTACCCATGTCAGTGATTTGGAAGAGGATGAGCACAGCCAGTGGGAAAACCTAAGCCAGGAAGCCCCCTCTCCACATGTGTCATTTATAAATTGTGTTCCCACCAATGTGTAATTCTGCAGATTCTGTAGGGCCAGAGCGTGTGAGCACCTCCTCAGAATAGATCCCCACCTCCCAGTGATGGTGAATTAAGCTCTTGAAGACCATCTTCCATCATCAGTCTGGATGATAAATCCAGATCTGACCATTGCATTTAAGTGCTTCCCAGATAAGTAGCAATAGCAAGGACCTGCTGAGAGGCACCTCTGGCTTTTCTTTCTTTTGAGGATAAAAACTCTGTTGGAATGAAATCTTCCAAAACTTAGCACGAAATCCTGCCCCCAATGAGTCAATGGGATGCCACCAGCTGGCACTGGAGATCTGCCAGGATCTCATTTCCACCGCCTGACTGCAAGCACACCGAAAGCAGCGGGAGCCCTTCTGCTCATTCCAGTGCACACAGCCTGCAGTCTCTAACAATTTGCTTTGTATTAATTGACTTGTACAGGCATGTTTGAGTTCACCTCTGAGTGTTACACAATAAATTGCAGAAATCATCTTCTTTAAGCAGATTTATCCAAAGCTATTTAAATAATGTCCTCTGATTTTCTTTGTTACTGCAATCACCAGAAAAGAAGAGGGCCTAATAATACTGTATTTATAAACCATATTTGCTCTTCACTCCAAGAAAATCTGAATGTGAATAAGAATTCTTCAGTATATTTAGTGAAGCAAAATGAGTCCTTATTCTTTAATTTTCACCTAAATCATTAAGACATATTAAACCAATTTTATTTGTTGGAACAAATTACACAAAGGAGTTATTGTTTGGAATTTCCTTAGAGTTTGAATATCTGATGCAGTTTAAAGTATTTTTGTAACCTATATCGCTCTCTCGCTGTCTTCAGTGCAATCATTTTATAACCAAGACATCAAGTATTTGCTGACCAGGCAAGTGTAATGCATTAAAGTTTCAATGCAGAAAATATTTAAGGGAATAACTTCAGGCATATCATGAATGTTGCAGCACATACCTAGGAGTTGGCATAGATAAGAACATTAGTTTCTTACCTATTTCTTTATCAGATGGGATCTTGCTGCAGACATTGATAGATGTCTCAAGAACACTGATGCCCACTTCTTACTCCCAGTGCTGGTTTCTGAGTGAAAACTGAAAAAAATGTGAGATCATGGTTAGTCAAAAGCCTCACTAACAGGAAGAAAACGCAGAGTGTTTTAATTTCACTTTAATCAATTATACGATTAAAAATGCAAAGCAGATAGTCTCATCAATTCAGTAATGAATAGCAAAATGGATGATAAGAGAGCATAGACACCAGTCTATTTTTCTATTACTCCAGCTTCTCTTTTTAAAGCTGATAGGACAGACCAACTGATTAAAATCCCTTTAATTTCCTCTTCTTTTAATGTCAATTAAACTTTTCTGACATGAAGGGAACATAGGGAATGGCACAAAGCAACAATGCAATACTAATTACCTAGCATGGGAACAAGATGATAATGATTAACTGTGAATTTTTTTTATTATTACTCTCTGGAATAAAAGGGTTTTTGAATGAAGGAGGATTTTGACTGGCCTGCATGTTTGCTTTATTGATACTGACTGAAGGAGTCCTGCCCAGCCACACTGCAGGGATGCTGTCATGGTGCTGCTGCACGATCCTGGCTTCTCACAAATACTTTTCACCAAAAATTCTTTTTGGCTGGGTGTGCATTTGATCTGCACAATTGCTCCATAGCTAAGCAGAGCTCCATGCTCTGAGCAGCTCACAGCAACTTTTAATCCAAGGTCAGCAATTTGCTTTAATTATTGTAGATTTATTTCCTTTCCTTCATCAGACATACACTGAGCACGGTTCTCTGCTGTCCAGCCAGAACTGCTACGCTTTCCCTGCTTCTCACAAAGTTTAAACCTCCTGAACAACTCTGCGTAAATACAATTCAGCAAATGACCTCAGTTGTCCAAAGGGCGCATCATTAAAGCAAAGAAGAACCTTCCTAGGCTTCCCTCTCATTCTTTCCCCTGAAACAACTCTTAACAGAGGAAAGCATTTGAGCGGTTGTTATTCCAGGAGCTCTGCTTCTACGAAACTGCCAGACCCTACACCTCCCTCGAGAGAACCTCTGCTCCCACTGCACGAGGTGCACACCTGCAGCCCATGGGCAGCATCTCATGGCACCTTCCTGCTGCTGCAACAGCACGCCCACCTCACTGCTAGCAGGGCTCCCACCTGAGTGGCCACAGCAGAGGGGACCTGCAGGGAGCTAAATGCACCTCACAGCTCTATTGCCTCCCACCTGGGCCCATGCAGAGATCCCAGCACAGCCAAAGATGGGTGCTGTGAGAAGCAGCTTCTCCCTCGTGCTCTACGTAGAAGGCAGCAGGGCTCCCACAGAACAGCTCCATGCTTGGACAGACAGGAGAGGGTTTCCTCTCTTGGGAGTTTATTCAACCTAGGATGCACTTATTATTTCCTCAACAGGAAGCCCCTTTCCAGTTATCATCATTACAATGTATGTCTCTGTGGATACATAGCTTTCTTTATAATAATTCACCCATGAAAAGGCAAGAAAGGCAGCCAGTAGAAAAGCACTAAGCTCTCTTATTTTTGTTTCAATCTCAGTGAATAGGAATTCACTTTGTGTTTTAGGAGCCATTAGCAGCCTAAAGACTGTAACAGCCCTTAAAAAATTGGCCACTTAAATCTGAGTTGCAATGACTTTACTGGTAAGGCTGAGGAAAGTTGGCCCTGCATAAGTACAGGTCCCTTCACAGTTAATCATGCAGCGTGCCCAGCACAAAACCAAAAAGGCCCAAACCTGCCACCTGGCTCTTGGGGCAAGGCAATCGACCTGCCCAGCCCCTCACATTCCTCCCGCTGGCAGGGATCACTGCTGGAGACAGATGTTGTTCCAGACCTCCCATGGCAGCAAACGCACGTCCAGTTAACAGAGACAGCTAAGACAGCTGACTACCACAGAACCAAAGAACCAATCAGCCAATAAACCTGCTGGGAACAGAAAACCATTTGACCATGAGAATCCATGCCCCCAGGTGCTGGCTGCTTTTTAACATGCTGCCAGCACCATCCCTCTAACTCTATCCTTACTATAAACTCTAAATTTCTAGATGTGAGGGAGAAGATCCAGCTCTTTCTCAAGCCCCTATTAACTGAGTCCATCTTGTAATACATAAAATTACTCCCACTGCAGTTCTTCTAAGCAGATGCCAAGGACAGGCACTTTGAAGTAGGAACCCTGAGAAGAACTAAAGGAGTGAGATGCAAAATCACATTATTTTATGTGAAGCAATAATTTCACATACACTTCAATTTGGCACAAGCTAGGACAGCCAATCCTGCCCTCCCCCCTGGGTTCCAGCTGTTCATTTCCAGCCCCATTCCCATGCGTGCAGACAAGCAGCTGTGTGGCCCAGCAGGAAGCAGACTGGGGAACTTATCTGGATGAAAACAACAGAGTTCACTGAAGAGGACAGTTCTGGAATGGGAAAAAGCAACCATGGGCATAGGGAGGGTTGAACTGCTTCTCTTGGCAGTCACGTCTGCTTACACTGGCTCAAAGTGCATGTGAAACTACTCTTAGGATTTATTCAGGCAATTACTCGTATTGTTACAGAAATGTCAGCCCTTGGGAAAACTTCCCTCTTGTCCCCACTGTTCCCCACTGAGCAGTGTACCAGCTATCCATGGAGAACCTCTTGGAAAACGCAGGTCCTCGAGCAGCGCAGATCCTACGGTGCATTCAGGAGCAGAAAGCAGTGACAAAAAGGAAGAACAACATTTTAAAAATTATGGTCAGCACGAAACTCTGAGCTGAAGGAGACGGATGAGCTTTGTTTCTACATGTAGACATCGGGCCAGGGGTGCCAGATGCAGCTGGGTGGGCTGCAAAGCTCTGACTGTGGCACAAGCGCTAGAATTAATGTGGCGTTACAGCCTCTGCTCAGCCTGTTTGCAAATTCATACAGCTACACGCCTCCATCGGGTAAAGCAGAGGTCTGTGCAAATAAAAGATTGGCTTCAAACAAAAGCCTGAGCAGAGCTAATGAGGGCTTTGATCCTCTAATTGGATCCATGCAAACATGCTCCACCCAGGCTCAGAGGTCTGCCATACACAAAGCAGTTGGGCTTTCACCACAGGCAACCACCCCAGGAGCTTGGACTCCATCAAAGTGGCCATCAGGAAGCACTGCTGAGGAACAGCATTTCTCATCTTTATTGATATATTAAGGTTAGATTTTCAAAGTGGACAGAGCAGGCAGGAATCAAGAACACAGTTTCCCAACCCCAGGTAAGAAGGGAATCCACACAGAAGAGAACACAGAACTGAAGCAAGGAGGCTGGACAAGGAGGAAGGTGTTTCGCTGTTGTGTTGATTTCCCATAATATTTTATTTATCTATTTAGCTAAAGCAATATTAAATGTTATGGTTGCTAAACATGTCATCCAAACATCAAATTCAAATATTGCCAGAAGTCAGGGTTCAACAGCTTTCAGAGGATCCTATTTGGATGTGTCAAATTGAAACAACTTAGAAAGTAACTGTATTTGCACCTCTCTACCTTTGAACACAAGGAATAGCTTTCAAAAAAGAAATTCCAAGGCCGATTTCTGGGGCTGTATGTAAGTAAACCAAGCACAGAGCAGCAGTGGGGATAAATGCAAAGAAGATGTATGGGATAAGGAAAATGACTGAAGCACTGTGTTTAAATCTCAGGAGCACTGATGGTATCACACCTGTGAACGATTCTTTTGTTGTCCCTGCCTTTCTTCAGTGCTACCTCAGACGTGCCTACAGTGCTTCAGAAAGCAGAACGACACGTCCCAGCCAAGAAAAACATGCCAGTTTGTTACTTTAGAAAACTCAGAGCATTAGATTTACCTGCAAAGTGAACTGTTCAGCTCAGTGCAATTTATTTTTTAATTCGTTCTGAGGAAGAACTGTAACTGTTTGCTCATTTCAGTGCAGTAAGATTTTTATTGCTAAGAAGTTATTCTGTGAATACGCAAACATACCTGGACATTTTAGGTAGTACATTGTTACACTGTTCCCAGAGCAGTGAAGGAAGATAACTTAACACCTGGAAAACCTTATGTTCTGTTTTTGACAGATTTAAACCAGCGAGGACAACTCACGTTGTTTCTGATTTGTCTGACAATATTTGTGTATTGGGTTACATTTTGTATATTATATTGTATGCTGTCAGAGACCCAAAATACACCTCGGGAAAGGGAAAGAAAAATGTAATATCATATAAATAAAAACTGCAAATAAATAAGCGGAATGTGAAGACATCTGTCTGAAAAAAGAGACAAAAAAAGCCCACTTCTGCAAACCATGACTTTGTCTGCATTTAAACAAACTAACAAACAAACCTAACAGTAACATTAGCCCTGTCTCAAGGAGAGAGACTGCAGCTTACAGATTGATGTCCAGCTTTTGATTTTGCCACAGTTCCCTAGATTGGGAGATTAAATACCTATTTTGATGATCAGGACTGCAAGAAGAGTAGCAAAAAGACGCAGATTTTCTCTTCTAATCCTCAGACCCAAATCCCAGACAGCCAGTAATGATGACAAATGAACGCTTTGGAACGTCTGTATAGTAACAGCCATAAAATGAGTTAGCAGATCCATTCCAGTTTCTGGTTTAGAAAACTCCAGATCATCAAAGCCATCCACTGTTATTGACACTAATTGGCATCTTGCTCAGCAGAGAAGACTGAGATTGAAGAGGCCCCAGACAGAACAGTCCTCAGTCCTGAGCTCATTTTATTGCTTCAGAACTAAGCCAGCATCGCCAGCACCACTGCCAGATGCACCTTGCTCTGGATAATTGAAGAGAATATAATTTTTCAGCTCGATCCTCTTCAGAATCCCTCACTAGAGAAGGGAAGGGAAAGGAAATAGAGGAGAAAAAGAAGTTTTTGAAATCAAAGTCACGGTTAAGGGCTTGCTAAGAGCCCACTTTTCTGTGCTCAACAGAAATGTTTGCTTTTTTGCCTCTGTGATGGTTCTGCAGCAGCAATTAAGGATAAAGCAGTTCTGAGCTGCATCAACAGCACTGCTAAAAAAGTAAAAACAAAAGACTGGACAAACAGAATACCAGGCCAAAAAAAGAAAAACATAT